AATATCTTCACTATGCCCCAGTCTCTAAAGTTCAAAACAAAACAAAACAAAACAAAAAAACAGATGTGTAAGGATCATATACAACAAATCCAGGAACGAGGTGGACTTAAGGGCATGAAGTCTGAATCCCCTATGCAATCCTGAATCTACACAGTTGAGATTCCAAAGCTTTAAAGTATTAAATCACTCAATGAATCATGCTAAAAATGTACTTGCTTGAAAAACGCATCAGCAGGGCCACCCAGAGGATTCAGGGGGCCTGGGGCAAAGCAATTTTGGGGGTCCCTTCCATAAAAAAAAGTTGCAATATTATAGAATACTATTTTCTTGTGGGGGCCCCTGCGGGGCCTGGGGCAAATTGCCCCACTTGCCCCCCCCTCTGGGCGGCCCTGCGCATCAGCAAAGCTATTAGCAATGAAAGTATTTCAGAAGAGCAGAAAATAATATAATGCTGTTAAGGATTAAGGCCCAAATGTGCATATTTAGAAATCATTAAGGGTGCATCTCAGCCAGTAAAACTAGCACTTGTATTTCAGCAATTGTGCAGATGAAATTGCTATATAGACACAGAGCTTAGGCATTTTTACCAGTGTCAGGAAAACCTGCTCCGCCAGTGCAACTACACCATTGCTGGCAGCTCCTGAAATACAGGTACAGATTTTGCTCACATAAACAAGGCCTAAATACACAAGGTACATGTTCCTACAGCTCCAAATAATGTTTAACTGGTTGTTTTGTCTGTTTGGAAAGATTTATGCATTGTAACAAAAGGACGTAGTTTACTTTTGGAAATAACTACATTTTACATTTTTTTAAATCAAGCCATTTGTTTCCCTACAGAATAACAATAAAATCTATTAGCACTGTCTTGGCCAATGTAATAACTGAAAAACAGTTCAAACGATTTAAACCATTTTTTCCTTTAAACAAACCAGTAGGCCTCTAGGCTAATAATGTGTGTGCCAAGTTTCAGACAGATCTCTTTTAAAACAATAGAACTTTAAACATTTGACCTCTCAAACCAGGATTTCAGACGAAAGCTTAACCTGCCCTTAATTAGAGTTGCATTACCACATCATTGGAATTTCATCATCGTAGGCTGTATAAAGCCTAGCTTGCCCCTCTTACATGTGCTAAATATAAATGTGCATGAACAGCAGAAGCATTTTTGTCTAATAGCTGAATCAGCTAAATAAGTGTGAGCTGAAATTTTTTTATCTGGCCATTTGGCTTGCCTAGTGAAGTCAGGATCAAACCTGATAGCCAAGGTTAAATTATAATTACATTTATCTCATTAATTTTAGATGTTGTCATATTGTGCCTTGTTTGAAAATCTAATTATTCTGCTTGTTACATTAGCAAATGTATTTTTATTGGTTTGGAAAGTAGGGAAAGCTTGTGCCAAACCATAATTTCACTTTAGTAGGGATCTAAACAAGCCATTTCTTTATATGCCTATATAAAATGGTTATTAACAATACTGGAACATTGAGTGCACTTTTCCAAACTGTATTAGATAAGATGGGATTATTGATTCTTGGAAAATATTCTTGTTCTGTGTATATTGTCATCCTGAATGCTATTTAGAAGTGTAACTGTTAGTGTCATTTTATGTAGCTCTAAAGTTGCAAGAGACTCACTCAAACATTTCTTACTGAATTGTAATTTATCTATTTGTTAACCATGTATATTGACATATTGTAACATTAAGGGTGGACCCATACCAAATTCCCAGCTCTAACTGTCTCCAAATTTTGGAGGAATTCAGATCTAATCCAAACTTTTCAGCCAAACTGTGTGTGATCTTCTTTTCTTAGTCAAAGGTTTTGTTTTGGTAGTAAGATCTCAAGACATCTGAGTTCTTTCAGCCTATTTAGTAAGCAAAACGCAAAGGGCTCTTGCATCTGTGTGACTGTTAGAACTATTCTACTACAGCTCTAGTCTTGTAACCTCCTTTCCTCCCCCCTTAGGATAGCTCTTTATTTTCACTTCCTGTGGGTGTGACTCTTTTTTCTTCTTTCACTGATGAGGATAGAGGGAAATTAACCAGAGAGTTACTTCCCCAATCTGATTCTGCTGCTATTGGGGGACTATCACTCCCCTAATCAAGTACCCCAATAATTACTTGTGTTAGTCCTGGTGCATTGTGAACTCCCTTTCTTACAATTCCCTCTGAAATGGTGTCTTTATTTGCTTAATTGCTATTTATTCACTCTCTCTATTCACTTAATAGCTCTTTGAGTGGCCTCTACATATTTCCACTCATGGGATACGCTGGCCAGGTGTGGTTTAGACTGTGGAACTAGCAATTAAAATATCTAATGTGCCCCTCTCCTCACCATTTGTGAATGTTCTGAGGGCTAGGTTATAAAAAGAAAGTGTGGCACTCCAGCTGAGCTCCCTCCCTTTCATTCTATCCCGTCCAGCTGACAATTCAGAAAATGATCCATGCATCAACCCAATCCTTCTCTTCAGTGCCTTTCAGACCAATACTTCAATAGGTTTTAGATAGAGTTTTGGTACATTTTAAAAAAATCTTAGTGTACTCTCCCTTATTGGGCAGAAAAAAGGGCCAAATAATTTCTAAATGGGTTTAATTATATATCCACGAAGTTTATAATTTAGCACCAGTCTCTCTCCCTCAAGGGATTAGAGCCCATTCCACTACAGCCAAAGCAGCATCTATGGATTTTTTAAAAAACATGCCCCACTCATTGAAATATCTTACAGATTCAATTTTACAAATGCCAGTCTTACAAAAGACAGTGACACAAACTATTTTGATGAAGAACAAGTCAACATCGCTTCACATTCCAATGCCTTCAGTGTATTGGAAATTGCTTTGCAGTGATTTGAAGGACAAGAAAGTGATGCAGTGCACCATATTGCAACTTATGCACCACATTTACTGTAATTTTGAGATGTTTAATTTTATGAACTTTTCCATTGTAAATTCCTCAATCCCTGATTAGTTTGTAAAACATGGCTATTACTATATGTAAGGCAGCAACCTTGGGTTCTATTCATACTTTCACTAGACATTATTCTCTAGACTTGGTATCCAAATCAAATGCTAGATTTGGCAGGGCAGTTCTGCAGTCTCTGTTTAATTAGGACTCCATATCCTTCCTTATGGGATAGTTTAGCAAACAGTAATCTCATGAGTGGGAATATGCAGAAGTCTCTCACTAGAGGAAGAAATGAAGGTTACTTACCTGTAACTGGAACTCTTTAAGATTTGCTGTGCGTATTCACATTCCCTACCCACCACCCTCTTCCTTGGAGTCCTAACTTCTAAATGGAACCTGACGGAGTGGTGGAAGGAACTGAGGTGGTTGGAGTTCTAAGTTTTCATAACTTTGCACTCAGGATGTTTGCAAACATTGATGGGAGTAAGAAAGGGGGCAGAGGAGTGTTCCAACAATCATTGCTTAAGTTCCACTAAGTTCCACTAAGCTGCATGCAGTCAGCACATCCCATGAGCGTGAATAGAGCCCATCTCAAACAACTCTGGTTATAGGTGAGTAATCTTTATATTTTAGTGAAAGACTAAAATTTATGACTATATGTGACTAAATTAAGCTTTTCTCCATATGAGTATCATGTTTTGTTATAAATTAATAGTAATATAAAAATTTACTAAAAAGGAAAGGTAAAAGCATTGGAGACTCTAATGGGGAAAGGAGGCAAACTGCAAATAACAAGGGAAAGCTGCAAAAATAGGGAAAAACAATAAAATGTTTTGGATGGGAGCGGAGGCAAGTGGAACATTGGGGAAACTCTGAAGAGCGTTCAGTCATCTTTCTGTCTCTCTCTTCAAAGCCACGCTCCTTTTTCCATTTCACTTCTTCCAGATGTTCTATTAGGACAGTAGTTCTCAAACTTTTGTACTGGCGACCCCTTTCACATAGCAAGACTCTGAGAGCGACCCCCCCTCCCCTTATAAATTAAAAACACTTTTTTATATATTTAACACCATTATAAATGCTGGATGCAAAGCAGGGTTTGGGGTAGAGGCTGACAGCTCGTGACCCCCCATGTAATAACCTTGTGACCCCCTGAGGGGTCCCAACCCCCAGTTTGAGAACCCCTGTATTAGGACTTTTAGTTGCAAACATTCAGTAATATGTAGTCAATTGGCATTGTGTGGTTAAATCCTTGTGTGCCTCTTTGAGGGACAAAATCTGACCCCACCACTGTGGCTGTGGAGAGATCTGATTATAATTTGGATAAGTGTTGTCCTGTTACACAAACGAACAGGGAGGAAGCCAGTACCCTGGCACAGGAGGCCTGAACAGCAGGGAGCTATGCTCCATGTGCACCCTTTGTACCCTAATGCGGAGGATAGAGTATGGGTGGATAGTTTATCTGTGACTGCATGGATCACTAATCATCACTCTCTTGTGCATGACTGGTACTCCCCCATGGGGGCTGTGATAGAGGCAGCAGAGTATGACAGGAGGGAGATGGTGACTCCTTCTCCCTCCCCTGATGTGCATGGCCTAATTATTCAACTATTTAAAACTTTTTGGCACAAATGTTTTGCAAGATTTTAAAATGGATGTAATATTTCTGTTGATATACTGTACACTGATGATCCATATCAGAGGCTGTTCAAGACAATCTTCCACCCTAAGCAAAATGTCAGTGTGCTGTCCCCTGTGCCACTCAAATTTGGCCCAGTTGCCCCTGCATCCTGACAGAGGGGTGGCCATGCCAAATCTACTGCCCTTGGCAGCTGCCTAGTTCTCCAGTACATAGAGTAGCCTCTGATCCAGATTATGTATCCATGCAGAAGCATCTGCTCCTATTTATTAGTGTCCAGTTGGAGATTATCCCCCTAATCATACAGTGTCCAGGTGTGCATTTTGTTGGCTCAGTGAAGCTGTAGATAAAGCATAAAGGGCCAGTAATACTCTGCTGTAGCCATGATATTTAGGTGATTGTTCATCAGAGTAGCAAGACTTCCCACTATATCTGCTGCCATCCAGCTGAAAATAATGGCTCAGAAAACTGTACTCATCACAGGTTGCTCCTCGGGAATCGGACTGGCCTTGGCTGTAAAAATGGCCAGAGATGAACAGAAAAGATTTAAAGGTAATATTTCTGAAATTAAATATCACACAGTACTGCATCTTCCATGTTGTTAGTCACTTTCATTTTGTGGTGTGACAGAGTGGACTGTACTAAGTGCTGGGTGTCTCACCATGTGATGGATAGATTTTCATCAGTCTGTACCTGAATTCTGTTCAGCTTCCCTGCTCCTCCATTCTTATTAATTCTCCCTTTCCTGACAGAAAGATATTATGCAATCAAATGTACTAATTTCTATGAACAGATGGTGATTCTGTGACTGTACTGAAATGAAATGTTTATCTGAAATTAACATGATAAATGTGGCAGTGGTATAAAAAGGGAAACTTTTTAAATTAAAAAAACAATGATGCATTTGCAGCACGCTAAATAAACACAGCTTTTTACAGGTTAGTCCTCTCAACTGCAGCTAGCTTTACTTGGCACTTAGCAAAGTCTTGTTGGTGTAAATGCAATTGCTAATTTTAGGAGGAAAAAACATTGTGTCTGGGAGCCCCTAATTAAATTAGCAATTTGTTTCTGAGAGGCAGGATTCAGTATTTCTTCCTTGCATTTACTCCCATGAGGGAGGAGAGGGAAAACTTGGTTCCACTGTCTGCCTTACAAAATGGAAATATTTGCTGCAATTGTGTGTAGCTGACTAAATGAATTTAGCAATTCAGATCAGGTTTACTCTCAGCAAGTGTCTTACTCCCCAGGGAATGATTGTATGGATTTATGGAAGTTAGAATAATTAGGCCACAGTAATATTAAAGCTGATCTATACATTAATAAATATCTTGCAAAATCCAACAATTTTGCAGTCTGAGGAATCATTTGTTTCACTTCCATGTAAAATTCTGGCTGCTTTTCTAAACACACTGGCTGTGATTTTCAAAAATGGGTGCCTAAAGATCGGCTTCTAACTCATTATTTAGGTGCCTAAATGTGGACTTAGGAGCCTAACTTTGGCACCCGTTATTGAAAATCTTGGGCTTAGTTTTTCTACCGTATCTTCCCTAACTGATATAGAAATAAAAACACATAGCTATGAACATGGCTGTATAAATGGTTTATTTCTCCATTCGCTCTTTCCCAAAATCTGATTTAAGAAAGTTAGAAGCACTATAAAAAAAATTTAAATACATACTCTCTGTTTTAGGTTATCAAGGCCCTATCACCAAAATATCTAAGCACTAAAATATGGACTTAAAGGTTGTATGCACTGTAACTTGTGTCTGCTGTCATTCTCAAAGGAAAAGCTTTCTCTACAGTTACATTTCTGGTTACTTATTTATGATTTTTTACAGTGTATGCTACCATGAGGAATCTGACCAGGAAGGACAAACTTGCAGAAGCTGCAGGCAGAACCTTGGGTAAAACCCTGGAAATTAAACAACTGGATGTCTGCAGTGAAGAGTCTATTAAAACATGCGTCAGTAGCATCCCTGACAGAAGGATTGATATCCTAGGCAAGTAATGAACACAAATGAAAGATGGACGAAAAGTCAGGATACAAGATTTAATTTAAGGATCCTTTTAAATATTTCAGATGTTTCAGTAATATTCTTTCTAAAAATGTTTATGGATTTAAGTATAAATATATGAATAAAACCAATATAACTGTACACTTCTACAGTATAAAGTCTTCCATTCAAGGTTCTCAAGCCATTTTACAAATACTAATTAATTGAATTCAGGCACAAAGAGATCAAATGACTTCTACAAAATCACACAATATGTCTGTGGCAAGGTTGAGAACAGAACTTGGATCTCCTGACTCTCCATACTGCACTTGAGACCTAAGACCACCTCTACCCTCTGAACACAGTAGACCCCTATTTATTTACACTAACAATAGGATGATCCTTTGTGAATTAGCAAGTAAGTGAATAAATAATTAAGAGAGACTGCACATGGTTAATTTCTAATAAGTTATAGTTTCATTTTATTTGATACTTTGCTAGTAAATTATCTAATATATTTTGTAAAAATAAATATAACATATGGCAACTAACTACACCCTCAGCTTTTAAATCTTGGCTAAGAGGAAGTAGAGCCTGCCTTTTTGGGGGAGATGATGGGGGAGCAGCAGAACAGCAAGGTGCAGATTAACATGATTTTCTGCAAATTGCACTATGCTCCAATTTGACATTCCACTTCTTACTACGGAGTGCTCATATTATGGCATGACCATTCTGCATTTCTGAAACCACAAGCACTCAAATGGAATCTTCTCTTGACCACCACATAGTGGCAAAGTTCTCAACCGATGCCAGTTCAGTTAAAAAAAAAAAAAAAAAAGAAACTGACATTATGAGGCGCTAAACACAAAGTAGACCAAAAATATCAAACAAACATACTAAGGCCTGATCCAATACCCAGTGAAGTAAACTGAGACTCTGTTTGACTTGATTGGGCCCCTAATTCTTAATACTGAATAAGCAAATATAGAGAAGTTTTTGCTCATTTTTCCCCTTACTTTTTTTCTTTAAATCAGGAAAGGGTAAGGCATAAATCAGAAATAAACAAGAAAAACTTCAGAATAGCAGATATTTTAAAATGTAATAGAGCAAAAGCAAAGACATTCCATGTCAAATGTAATCTCAAGGTTTCACTAAGAAGCTGAATAACTAATTGCTCTTGTGTGTTTTAATCCCTTATTCCAGTCACTCATTTTTACCACCATGTGTTTTCCAGTGAAAGTGCCAAGTTAATGTTTATTGCAGTTACTACTCACTACTGTGTTTTGCATCTGTACAGTTAGCAATGCTGGAATGGGGCTCATTGGACCTATTGAATGCCAGACCATAGATGAGATGAGAACTGTGATGGATACAAACTTCTTTGGATTGGTTCGACTCTTGAAGGAGATTTTACCTGATATGAAGAAGAGGAAGAGTGGACATATAGTTATAATAAGTAGTGTCATGGGAATACAAGGCAAAGTATTATTATGTACTAATTTATTCATAATTTAAAGCTCGCATTTTTCTGAACTGAAAAATGTAAGCAATCTAGTATATTAAGCTATTGTTTCCAGTTTACAAACATGGGCTTCAGTTCTACATTCTTACTCACGCTGAGTAATACATTATGTCAGTACTCTCATTAATTTTAATGGGACAACTTGCAGAGTAAAGTACTACTGCTTGTGAGTAAGGCTGGCAGATTTAGGACCATAACAACTATGTTTGAGTTTTCTGGAAAGTAGCATTTTGCTCTTTTCACAAAGTAAGTTCATAGGAAACTTGTCTCTGTGTCTCGCTTGAAGGGACTACGGAGGAAAGACCAACACATTTTAATACACTTTTTTATGCACAGATATTTTGTGAAACTAGCTTTATAAAAAGCTCTGCCTTAAAAAGATTTAGTACATATGCAGTCTGTTAGTAATTCACATATTTGACACAGGAAAGTATTCCAAGCAGTATATACAAAGTTGGTCTTCCAACACTGCTCTCTCTCTCTGCCCCCCCCCAAAAAAAAAAACAAAAACCCAGAACAAGAAGATGGAATCAACACTTCCACACTGAAATACTCTCTGATTGTTTGATCAGTGGGTCCTTTCCCACTTCCATTGGAGTCCTCCAAGTCCTCCATATCCCAGACTGTCAAATCAGTACTTTCTTTCTGTAAGGCTTTCCCTCATACTAGGTATCCTGGTGTTGCCACTAACCCCCAAGGGGGAGCCATCAAATGGACCTCACTTTAGAGCCAGATAATATTGCTTTTAATTTGGTGCTCCACCCTACATAATCTTACTTGTATGCGTAGTCTCAATAACTTTAATGTGCCTCTCACCTATGGATTATTCATGTGAGTGGGCAGTTGTAGGGTCAAGACCTTGGCTACTAAGAGTTGCTAATGAGCAACATGATGCTCACCATCCGTCTTAGAGGGTTGTATATTGCCTCCTTCGAGTCATCAAGAAGTTTAAAACCAAATCTTTTAAATCTTATATCTCTTGGATGCATTGCAACACAGCTGCCATGCCAAATGATAGATTGTATTACACATATAGATCGCTGTATTAGACCACAAAATATCTAACATAAATACCATGTGCGAGAGTCTCAGCTATGGCCAAGGAACAGCTCGAAGGCTGCTCTAACCTGCGCCAGTTGCCAATGGCACCTAGGGATCATAATAGCCAGGGTGCAAAGGAGACAATCACTGCTCAGCAGGTATCCCCCCCCCCCCCCCCCCCAAAAAAAGGTTTGGTCACCCCAGTGCATTTAGTAGGAGTGTTTTTAACATCTTCATAACTTGAATTAGCCCAACATAAATCATGATGATTTTTTTTCATGCTCTCATAACCACAAACAGCTTATACATTTTTTTAGGAAATATAAGCCACTCAAAAACTTAAAATGATCTTAACATGATCTGTAACAATTTTGTTTTTGCCTTCAGGTATTTTGTTCAATGATGTTTATGCTGCATCTAAATTTGCTGTGGAAGGATTCTGTGAAAGTTTAGCCATACAAGCACTCAAGTTTAAACTTCAGTAAGTGTTGACCCAAAGGTGTGGGCTACATATCAGACTGTGCTTTAAAATATATCTTGAGCTAGAAGTAGTAGTACAGCCATTATATTGTAGGCTACTGTCCCGGAGAAAGAGGATGAAGAATTTTTCCTCTTGAATTGAAGCTATACATTCACAAGAAGCCACTGAAACCTTCTTATAGAAGTTCCCTTGCCCTCCCCACCAAAGTAGTGCAAATGTTTAAATGACAAAATAAACATGACCTACAGCATTCAGACTAGGAGTAAGTTTAGCTTTGAAAAAATATGTATAGCTTTCATATACATCCCTGGAAATCTGGACTCTCATCTACAGTACTGTGGGGATGTGGTCATGTAATATGTGTACCTCAAAGAGAATGTGTTCTCTAATCTGTAGTACCCAGATACATTAGTGAGAATGATCAATAATGACTTTCATTATAATGATTATTGGAGACATTTATATAACAACATAGTGGTATGTAGCACTTTCAATAGTGAATAAAAACATGGGCCTTGCCTCAAAGAGTTTGCAATGGAAATCAAGCAAAGCAAGACAGAAAGAGGAGATGCCTACAGTCTAAGTGAATAGAGCGTGAGCAGGAGGGATGCACAAAATAAGATTGTGAGGTAGTTTACATGGTAGTTCATAACTTTTGTATATCATTACTTACAATTTAATTTTATTAGTTTTTAATGAGAATTTATTAGAGAATTACTGTATGTGTAAATAGGTGGGCTCTGAGAAGGGGTTTAAAGGAGATAAGAAATGTTTGTGGCATAGAGGGTTAGAGGGCATTCGAGACCTAGGAGGCAGCATGGAAGAAGGAAGAAGAAAAAGGTTGCATGGAGAAATGTGAAATTGGCTAGTGACCAGTGATAACGTAAGCAGGGGCAGCATTGTGCAGAAGTTTTAATTTGAAGTTCTGCTTAAAAATCAGTAGCGTGGTATAGCCCTTAGGAATAAGGGGCAAAGTACAGATATTCATTAACTGTCTAACCCAGCCACAGAACTGGCCAGAAATCTGCTATACAAAAACCTTGTTCAATAGATAACTACGGTTGTAACCAGGAAGGACGTGGCATACTTAAAACTTGAGAATGGAGCTGGAGAAGGAACTGGTGCAGGGACCTTAAGTATTTCTAAGCTTTACTATTATGCACTTCTGGGCAAATCCTGCTCCTCCTCCGTAGGTCCAGCGAGCTCAACAGCAGCATAAGTCTGGGAAGCTGGACTTTCTGCCTAAGCATTTATACTGTACTTTGTGGGTACCACAGAATAAGAGTGCCTTCCAGAATTATATACACCCAAGAGGTAACCAAAGAGATCTCTCTCTCTTTCTTTTAAATACTTCTACTATTATTACTAGGTAGGAGAGATGGCAAGGAGATCCATCTAGCACTTCATCCAGAAGGCAGTGAGGTTTATGATAATTTTTAAGTCTTGTTGCAGAGATTCCACAGCTGTGAGCCAGCAGCTGAGAGGGCTTTGTCTCCTGCTTCCACTTGTCATAGACTGATAGTTCCATTGCTCCCCAGCAGTGCAGCCAGTGTTCTTCTCCCACGGAAACCCCCAGTGCCTGTCTGAGATACTCAGGGCAAGAGCTGTGGTATGGATCTCTCCCTTAACATTTTTTAAATAATAAATTCTTTAACAAGTGCTCATTTATTTGCAGCCACTCACTACCTATACAAAGGATAGCTTTACACATTTCACATATAGGAGGACAGATCACCCATATGTTATTGTTCTTGTAACAGGCTAAGTCTGATTGAGCCAGGCCCAGTGATCACAGAATTTGAAAAAAAGGTGTTTGAAGATGGAATGAAAATGGATCTTTCGGCTGCTGATGAAGAAACTGCTGACATGTTTACTAATATTTACCTTAAAAATTACAAACAGATTTTCCAAAGCCTGGGACAGAGTGCAGAGGACATAGCAGAGGTAATTAGTCAAATTATTTTGTGCAGTCTTAGAATGCTCTGTTTGATTGTCGACCCACTAGACTTCATTAAGCACAACCTCAAGAAATTAACTGGATCTAGAATTTAGAAAGAACATGAAGTTCTCCCAGTTTTAAAAGGCAACTGTGACTTTTAATCTGTAATACCATTGAGTGGATAGTTGCAATGTGATCTAACTACCCAGTGAAGTCAGAATGACACTAATGTGCACGGTCACCAGAAATCTAGATGGGTTACTACCATTGTTTATGGCCCCTCTCTTGCTCAGATTCCACTAGTGCAAACCCCTACACCCATGTGAAGTCCAGCAGACTATCCCAGGAACCAACAACAGAAATGCACCAGCAGGTCACAGCAGAACATAGCTGGAGGCAATCTCTGATATTTGAGGGTTTATAGACCACAACCAACACCATGAACTGCTTCTAGAAGCAAATAGGTAGACAACATAGAGTATGGAACATCAGTCTTATAGACTTACATCTCAAATTTAAGCTGTTGCATTGTGCCAGCTGACATGCTCTTCAAAAGTAGGCCAGAGTAGTACTCTAGGGTAAATGAATGCTTGAGGTTACAAAGGCCTGAATCACTGTGGAGAGGTGGAAATACAGGAAAGTTTGCAGCCTTCAGATCAACCCTAAGTTAAAAATGACAGTGTGTGATTGAGGGCATCTTGGAATCTAAGAGCAGAAATGGATTCTAAACGTTTACGAGCAGCATTAGTGAAGGTCAGACACACAGTCCACCTCCAATATACGAAATACTAGCTAAGGCCCTGATCCTGCAACTGGTTTTGTGCACACAGATTTGTATGCATTTACACAGCCATATTCACTTCAATAAGACTCTGCCTTGGCATAAGGATCTGCCTGTGCGGGATCCGGAAACCTACATGGAGTCCCAGTGATTTTGTTTGTGTCTTACCTTAGACCTATAGGGTGTGATTCTTAACACCCTCAGCATTGACACAACACTGCTCCCACTGAAGTTAATGAGAGCTTTACCGCTGACTTCAATGGGAGCAAAGTTAGGCCAACACTGAGCAGTTTTGAAAATCCCACACAATATATTTTTTTAATTTGTATTTGATTTAAATAGTGTCAGGTTCCTGACTCTCATGTTGTTTGTAAACTGGTAAATATGAAACATCCTGATTCACACATTTGATACCATATCTGAGAATTCAGACTTGTTCTGTATTTAATATTTTATTTTTAAGAATTCCACATTTAATCACTTTCTGAATGATAAAGCTCTTTAGCAGCTTTTATTTACAGCAATATACAGTTGGAAAACTTAGATGCATGCAATTAATTCTTCCAGATAAGTGAGTGCAGCTAGAACTTTACAAATTTAAAATTTTTATTAAGATGTTAAAAAAAAATATTGAACAGAGTTTGAGCATAGAAGTTTCTGGTTATCAGGGAATAATGTACAGATTATCAAGGGTGCAAAGCTTGGTTTAAGATCAGGTGGCATAAGGAATACATAATCTGCAATATCCCCGATTGGGGGTAAAAGGTTGATGGGTCAAACTACAGGCATTGAGTGGCATACAAGGATATGTGTGGTACTCCAATTGAAATTGAGGTAACTCGCTCTTTGCCTGCCAAATTGAAAATATATCTGTCTTCAGCTTCCTAGACAAACACTTGTAGTTTGAACAAACAACAAATCAGCAGAGACCCTTCCTTTAGACTGAGTTCTTCTAAGCAAGAGCTTCTAACTCAGAATCAGACTCCTGCCCTCACTTCAACCTGCATAATATGTTTTCATTGCAGAATTTACCCAGTGGATCAACATGCAAGTTTGCCTAGCTTGGGTGTGAATGGCCATGCTGCAAAGCCCTCTTGAGTTGAGTTAGCGTTGTACTCACCCGCTTGAGATGCTAAAACTTCTGGGATTATATCCCATGGTTCTTAGCACTGCAGTACACTAAGCCAGTCTGATTCTCTCTGAGTGAATTGTGGGAAAACTTGTCTGTCCTTTTGGGCACACACGGGGAATTGTGGGAAAGCACTGGATATTTATCAGCACTTGAGGGGTTCAGTGTGTATCCTCACTGCAAAGTGGGCAGATTACCAGCCTGAGTGAAAGTACCACTCTGGCTTTAGTGTATAGCCCCAGATGAGCCAGGCAGCCTGGGTGCAAAGCACAACCAAACTTGGGTCAGAGGGGTGCGTGTGTGTGTGTGTGTGTGTGTGAGAGAGAGAGAGAGAGAGATGGGATGGGGCAAAACCCAAGCAAGAGCCCAAGATAACTGTGCAGTGAAGATGCTCCCTGGGTCTCACCCTGCACTTTCTCTGCTTCACCCATGCTTATCTGACCACCTCCTTTCTCTCCTTTGCCTACATCTAATTTCATGTCCTCTTTCTTACCACCTCCATACATTCTCAACTAATGTTTGAGAAGTTTCTCCTTGACCCTCAAAAATATCCTGAAAACCTGCTTCATGAGGTGCTCCTGCTTTAATCACCACTTGCTTACTCTACTTTTCTTTTGTTTTTAGACTCTTAAGGTCTTTGAGACAGGAACTTGTCATTTGTTCAGCATGCATTGCATATCATACAACACTATGTATAGGTTTAAAGAACACAGACACACAAGCCTTTGGGCATGAGCACAGAACTGCTAACCAGCAGTGATCATTGGAGTCACAAACCCCTTACATATAGAACCCTATACAAAGCTATCAAAGAGATGGAAAGGAATAAAGGTAGGAGACCCAAGTTCAGTGCTGCGGTAGATTGGAGTCAGCTAGCAATTTTTAATTATTTTTTTTTTACTGTTTTGCACCAAATTGGGAATTAGTATTAGAGCCTTTTTTGGTAGTTTACATAGTAGTTTTTAGCTTTAGTCAAGAAACCACTCTGTGCTGAAGTTCCCTCAATACACATTTGGAATAAAAAAGAAAAACCAAAATGCTTAACCCTTGGAGCCCCACTGAAGTTTGTGTTTCATAATACCAAACTGGAGACATTTGGGCCAGAATTTAATCATTATGATGCTTTTTAAAGAATAAAAGGGTCAAGCAAACATACTGATCACCTCCATACTGCCTGCCCAATACTTCCAAGAGCAGGAAATGATTGTACTCAGAAATAGGACTGATGTGGCACTAGATGCAGTAATACACGTCTGTGTAGCTCAAAAGCTTGTACCTTCCACCAACAGAAGTTGGTTTAATAAAAGATACCATCTTACATACCTTGTTTTATTGCCGCACATAGCAAGTTTTAGAGAAAAATGCCTGTGGGGGTAAAAAACAGATTTCTGGTTTTCTAATCACATATTTCATCACTGATCTCAAATTCAAATGTTCTAAATAGTAAATATATTCCTTTTGTTTAATATAAACTTCCACTATATTTTCTGATAAAGTTGGAAAATAAAATTATGTTGATTAACCTCAAAGAGAAACATGTTTTTTGAGGTTTCTAAATTATCCTAAGAAAATCTTAATCGATTAACTGCCTGATTAAAATGTGATCAAATTTCCTAAAGGATTTTACAAAGCTACCTTTGGCACTTTGCTCAGTCATTCTGTTTGTTGATTCTTGCACATCTATTTGGATAAATGATGTTCTCTAAAGATCCCATTTCTCATTCTAACAGCATACAGTAAAGATAATTCTTGCAGAAAATCCACCTTTTCGCCATCAGACCAACACCCTGTATACACCAATGACAACCTTGAAATATGCAGATCCAAATGGAGATTTACCTATTGATACCTTCTACAAAATGGTTTTTCAGCATGATAAAATCTTCAGTGCAAGTCTTAACTTCATCAAACTGCTAAGGTGGAGAAGCAGAAAAAGCTTTGATTTGGGAAACCCTTCACAATGAATATATGTATGCTATTGTGTGCATTTGGATCACTGGTTCTAGTCACTGCTGATATACTGTTTTGAAAAATAGCTTTGCAATATAATTGATTACAAAAAGACATTTAAAATGTTTGGTTAGTGAGCTTAATTGAGGTATTAATGTTGATTAACTTTTATTTTGAACTTCAAGTTTCCAATGCTTTGAAAGTAAAATGTTTGACCTACGTCAGTTATTGTCAGTAATCTTGGCCGTATATTCTATTTCCAGAGTTGTTCCTGGTAGAAATTTATGATCACTATTTTTTCTGAACATCAACAAATCAATTATCAAACAGTTCCCTTCAGCATTTATTAGAATTAAAAAGAAAAGATACTGAGATTAGTACTCTGTGTATATCTTATTTGTAGAAAAACCTGATTTGTTAGTATTGTAAAACATATCAAATTGCTTTGCTAATGTTCTAATGATCTTTAAATCACTTAACACCTTGTTCTGTAGTTCTATACTTCTATTTAAAAGGATTAAAATAAACTACTTGTTAGAAACCTAAGAAGTGCAAGCATTTTTATAGTTTTAAAAAGTATTGAAGATACCTAAAATATGGACATTCATATTATAGTCAACTTCTATGATAGTGGTGAATGGCTTATGATTATTTCTGTGGTTTCTTAGGGAACACAAATTAATATGATCAAAATTTTCAAACCTGAGGGCCTAAAGCTAGGCTCCTAAATCCATATTTAGACATCTAGATAGAAGTGATCTGATTTTCAATGGTGCTGTGCACCTGCAGCTCCCATTGAAGTCAGTGCGAGTTACATGTGTTCAGCACCTTTGAAAATCAGAGCACTATCTAAATCAGTGGTGGACAACCTGCAGCCCGTCAGGGTAATCCACTGGCTGGCCACGAGACAGTTTGTTTACATTTGCACGGCCACCCGCAGCTCCCAGTGGCCGCGGTTCGCCGTTCCCAGCCAATGGGAGCTGTGGGAAGTGGTGGCCAACACATCCCTGTGGCCTGCACCACTTCCCACAGTTCCAATTGGCTGAGAACGGCGAACCCCGGCCACTGGGAGCTGCAGGCGGCCGTGCAAATGTAAACAAACTGTCTGGTGGCCCGCATGCAACCCGTGCGCCACAGGTTGCCCACTACTGATCTAAATGTCAAAATGTGGATTTAAGACACTGGCTTTAGGCACCCACATTTGAAAATTTCATAGGAGTTGGCTAGACATCTAAATGTCTTTAGGCTTTCAGGTTTGAAAATGTTGGCTTGTAGCTCCACTTTATTTACAGCTATATTTGAGTGTCTGGAGGATGGGTGTTTGTATGTATGTAAGTGCATAGATGTACCAGTAGCTTTGATAAGGTTGGCAGTGTTCTTGGGAATAGGATTTGCTGACTGCTATATGACATGCTTGGGTTATACATAGTGGGTTTTTTTTTAATATCTTAGCAACACAGCACTTTTTTTTTTTATATTTAGAATTCAGAGAATGTTTGTCATCAGAATAATTTTAAAGCTATGTCAAATTTTAAACTGAATGCAATAGTATTCCTTTAAATTTCATGTTGCTTTACTGAAATGGGTATGAAAAATTTGGTTTCCACATAACAGAATCAATTAATCATAACAGAATTTAAATATACAAATTACATATTTAAGATCAAGACATGCTATAACAACACTTGCTTTTCATAAGGTCCTGCTTTTTTGAAGAACTTTAACTATATAAATATTGTCAAAAACTGAACATAAGAATGGCCATACAGGGTCAGACCAATGGTCCTCTTAGCCCAGTATCTTATCTCTGACAGTGGCCAGTGCCAGATGCTTCAGAGGGAATTAACAGAATGGGGTGATTATCGACTGATCCATCCTTTGTTGTCTAGTCACAGCTTCTGGCAGTTGAAGATTTAGGGTTGCATCCCTGCCCATCTTGACTAATAGCCATTGATGGACCTGCCCTCCATGAACTTCTCTCTTTTTTTTTTTTAAGACAGTTATGCTTTTGGCCTTCACAACATCCCATGGCAACAAGTTCCACAAGGTTGTGTGAAGTAGTACTTCCTTTTGTTTTAAACCTACTGCCTATTCATTTCATGAGGTGACACCTAGTTCTTGTTTTAGGTGAAGGGATAAATAACACTTACTTTCTCCATACCATTTATGATTTTCTAGACCTCTATCATAGCCCCCCTTAGTTGCCTCTTTTCTTAGCTGAGCAGTGCCAGTCATTTTAATCTCTCCAAATGGAAGCTGCTTCACACCACTAATCATTCTCATTGCCCTTCCCTGCGCTTTTCCCAATTTTAATCTCTCTTGAGTAACTTTGTATCATCTGCAAATTTTGCCACCTTACTAGTCATCCTTTTTTTCCAGATCATTTATGAGTATGTTGAACAGCACAGGTCCCAGTATAGATAGTTGAGGGACCCTGCTATTTACCTCTCCATTGTGAAAATATTTATTCCTACCCTTTTGTTTCCTAGCTTACTTAACAGTTGCTGATTCATGAGAGGACCTTCTGTCTTATCCCATGACTGCTTAGTTTGCTTAAGAGCCTTTAGTGAGGGAGCTTGGACTTTCAGAAAGCTTTTGACAAGTACACTATAATCCACATGCTTGCTGACTCATTCAAAGAATTCTAATAGGTTGGTGAAGCATGATTTCCCTTTAAAAAAAGTCAGCCATGCTGACTTTTCCCCAACTATATCTGATAATTTTTATTATAGTTTAAACTAATTTGCCTGGTAATGAAGTAGGCTTACCACCCTGTAATTGCCAGGATCAGCTTTGGAGCCTTTTTTTAAAACGGGCATTATGCTACCTACCCTCTAGCACACAAACTAATTTAATCAGTAGGTTACATACCACAATTAGTAGCTCTATAATTTAATGTATGAGTTCCTTCAGAATTCTTGGGTTCATACCATCTGGTCCTGGTGCCTTATTACTGTTTGTTTAATCAATTTCAATCTGGAACAGTTCCTCAGATTTGTCTCCTAAAAAGAATGGCTCGGATGTCTGACTCTCCCCAATATCCTCTGCTGTGAAGACTGATGCAAAGAATTCATTTAGCTTCTCTGCAAAAGCCTCATCTCGAGCGCTCACTGACTGTTTGGCAGGCTTCCTGCTTCTGATGTCCTAAAAAAAAACAAAAAAACCAATCTGTTAGTTTTTGTGTCCTTAACTAGTTGCTCTTCACATTCCTTCTTGGCCTGCCCTATTATAGTTTTACACTTGATTTACCAGTTTCTATTTTCCTCGGACTGGGCTTCTAATTTTTAAAGGCTGTATTTTTTAATCTAACTGCTTCTTTTACTCTGCTGTTTGACCATTGTTGAATTTGTTTGAGCTGGGGTATGCATTTAGTTTGAGCCACTATTATGGTGTTTTTAAAATAGCCTCCATGCAGGTTACAGGCATTTCATCCTTGTGACTGTTCCTTTTTATTTCCATTTAACTAGCTTCCTCATTTTTGTGTAGTTCCCCTTTTTGAAGTTAAATGCTACTGTGATGGGTTTCTTTGGCATTTTCCCCCTACAACGGTGTTAAATTTAATTACATTAATCCTATTATCTCGTGGTTCACCTATATTCACCTCTTGAACCAGATCCTGTATTTCACTTAGGACTAAATCAAGAATTCCTTCTCCCCATGTCAGTTTCAGAAAAAGCAGCTCCAAGAAATTGCTGAAATATTCTATGCTAAGTATTCTCGTACTGATGTTCACAGAATTACTTCTGACACTTGGCAAGGTTTTAGGGAAAAAACATTAAATGATTCTAGTGTACACACTCGTGTATCATATTCAGGTATGGTGACTTGCCTGCCTGGTGCGAAGGTTGCAGATCTCTTGAGGCATCTAGATAGACTTGTGTGTCGTGCTGGGGAGGAGCCGGCAGTCATGGTACATGTAGGTACCAATGACATAGGGAAGGGTAGGAGAGATGTCCTGGAGGCCAAATTTAGGAAAGAGACTGAAATCCAGGACCTCTATGGTGGCATTCTCAGAAATGCTTCCAGAGTGCCTCGTGTTAAAGGAGGATATTGATAAAATAGGCATCACAGAAACCTGGTGGAGTGAGAACAATCAATGGGACACAATCATTCCAGGGTACAAAATATATTGGAAGGACAGAACAGGTCCGGGGGGGGGGGAGGGAGGGTGGCACTATATGTGAAAGAAAATGTAGAATCAAATGAAGTAAAAATCTTAAATGAATCCACATGTTCCATAGAATCTCTATGGATAGTAATTCCATGCTCTAATAAGAATATAACAGTAGGGATCTATTATTGACCACCTGACCAGGACAGTGATAGTGACTATGAAATGCTAAGGGAGATTAGAGAGGCTATCAAAATAAAGAATTCAATAATAGTGGGGGATTTCAATTATCCCCATATTGACTGGGTACATGTCACCTCAGGACGAAATGCAGAGACAAAATTTCTTGATACTTCAAATGACTGCTTCTTGGAGCAGCTGGTACAGGAACCCACAAGGGGAGAGGCAATTCTCGATTTAGTCCTGAGTGGCACGCAGGATCTGGTCCAAGAGGTAACTATAACAGGACCGCTTGGAATTAGTGACCATAATATAACAACATTTAACATTCCTGTTGTGGGAAGAACACCTCAGCAGCCCAACACTGTGGCATTTAATTTCAGAAAGGGGAACTATGCAAAAATGAGGAGGTTAGTTAAAAAGAAATTAAAAGGTACAGTAACTAGAGTGAAATCCCTGCAAGCTGCATGGACACTTTTCAAAGACACCATAATAGAGGCCCAACTTAAATGTATACTCCAAATTAAAAAACACCGTAAAAGAACTAAAAAAGAGCCACCATGGCTTAACAACCATGTAAAAGAAGCAGTGAGAGATAAAAAGGCATCTTTTAAGAAGTGGAAGTCAAATCCTAGTGAGGTAAATAGAAAGGAGCATAAACAACGCCAAATTAAGTGTAAAAATGTAATAAGAAAAGCCAAAAAGGAGTTTGAAGAACAGTTAGCCAAAGACTCAAAAGGTAGTTACAAAATGTTTTTTAAGTACATCAGAAGCAGGAAGCCTGCTAAACAACCAATGGGGCCCCTGGACAATCGAGATAAAAAAGGAGCACTTAAAGACGATAAAGTCATTGCAGAGAAACTAAATGAATTCTTTGCTTCAATCTTCATGGCTGAGGCTGTGAGGGAGATTCCCAAACCTGAGCCATCCTTTGTAGGTGACAAATCTGAGGAATTGTCACAGATTGAAATGTCACTAGAGGAGGTTTTGGAATTAATTGATAATCTTAACAGTAACAAGTTACTGGGACCAGATGGCATTCACCCAAGAGTTCTGAAAGAACTCAAATGTGAAATTGCAGAACTATTAACTATGGTTTGTAACCTGTCCTTTAAATCAGCTTCTGTACTCAATGACTGGAAGATAGTGAATGTAACGCCAATATTTAAAAAGGGCGCTAGAGGTGATCCTGGCAATTACAGACTAGTAAGTCTAACGTCAGTACCAGGCAAATTAGTTGAAACAATAGTAAAGAATAAAATTGTCAGACACATAGAAGAACATAAATTGTTGGGCAAAAGTCAACATGGTTTCGGTAAAGGGAAATCATGTCTTACTAATCTATTAGAGTTCTTTGAAGGGGTCAACA